ATCGTCGTCGTCGTCGTCGTCGTCGTCGTCGGTCGTCGCCGTCGACGACCGTCGTCGTCATCGTCAATCACCGTCGCCGATCACCGTCGCCGATCGTCGATCGGCCCCGAGCCCTCCCGCCCACTCCTCCTCTTCTTCTCCTCCTCCTCTTCCTCCTCCTCCTCCTCCTCCTAATCTGCCTCCTCTTCCTCTTCCTCCTCCTCCTCCTCCTCCTGAAATCATGTTCCCGGAGACGCTTCCGGGGCCAGGATTTCGAACGATGCAGAAAAGACTGGGTCCAGGGTGGCTCTGCGCACGCTGGCAGCGTCGCCGCCGATCGGCGTGGCCGTCGTCGTCGTCGTCGCCGTCGATCGTCGATCGGCGACGTCGACTGTTGTCATCGTCGTCTATCGTCCTCGTCGTCGGTCGTCGACCGTCGTCGTCGTCGTCGTCGTCAATCACCGTCGCCGGTCGTCGTCGCCGATCCTCAATCGCCCTCGAGCCTCCTCCTCTCTCCCCCCCCTCCTCCCCTCCACTCCTCCTCCCCGCCTCCTCCTCCTTTTCCTCTTCCTCCTCCTCCTCCCCCCCCTCCTCCTCCTTCGCCCTCTCCGTCTGCGCGGAAGAAATCCAACAACATCTCGTGCAAATCAGCGAACTGTGGCCATCCGGGCCTTTTCGAAAGTCCATTTCGGGCTTTTTGGGGCCGTCTTAGGGCCCTCTTGGGCGTCGTGGGAACCAGGAAATCATGTTCCCGGATAGGCTTCTGGGAACATGATTTCGAAAGAGGCCCTCTTGGGCCTCCTTGAGGCCGCGTTGGGAGCCTCCTGGGCCAACTTTGGGGCCTCTCGGGCCGTCTTGGGGGTTCCGTGAGCCTCACAGGACGACCCTTTTGGGTCGTCTTGGGCCCTCTTGGGTCTCTCTTGGGCTGTCTTGGGGCTCGGGGGCGTCTGGGGCACTGTGAGGACCAAGCAAGGGAATATGCAGAAAACGTACGTTGTACAACGGGAGTGGGCCGATTTTTGCCTCTTGAAGGCCCTCTTCGGCCAGCTTCAAACCATCTCGGGCCCTCCTGAGGCGCTCTTGGACGTCTTGGGGCCCCCTTGGGCCTCGCTGAGGCTGTCGGACAGCGTCGCCGCCGTCGGCGTGGCCGTCGTCGTCGTCGCCGTCGATCATCGATCGGCGGCGTCGACTGTTGTCATCGTCGTCGATCGTCATCGGTCGTCGTCGTGTCGTCGTCGTCGTCGTCGTGAATCACCGTCGCTGGTCGTCGTCTCCGATCGTCGATCGCCCTCGAGCCTCCTCCTCCTCTCTCCCCCCCTCCTCCCCTCCACTCCTCCTCCCCGCCTCGTCCTTTTCCTTCCTCTTCCTCCTCCCCCTCCTCCTCCTCCTCCTCCTCCTTCGCCCTCTTCGTCTCCTCCGCGCGGACGAAATCCAACAACATTTCGCGAAAATCAGCGAACCGTGGCCCTCTGGGAATTTTTGAATGTCGTTTTAAGCCCTGGGAACCCGGAAATCATGTTCCCGGAGAAGCTTCCGGGGACATGATTTCGAACGAGGCCCTCTTGGGCCTTCCTGAGGCCGTCTTGGGGGCCTCCTGGGCCGGCTTTGGGGCCTTTTGGGCCGTCTTGGGCTGTCTTGGGGCTCCTCGGGGGCCACTCCGAGGACGAAGCAAGCGAGTATGCTAAAATTGTACGTTTTACAAAAGGAATGCGTAAAGTTCTGCCTTTTGAAGGCCCTCTTGGGGCCCTCTTCGGCCATCTTCAAGCCATCTCGGGCCCTCTTGGGGCGCTCTTGGACGTCTTGGGGCCCTCTGGGGCCTCGATGAGGCTGTCTTGTGGGCCTCTTGGGCTGTCACGCGGGCAGCGTCGCAGCCGTCGGCGTGCCCGTCGTCGTCGTCGCCGTCGATCGTCGGTCGGCGGCGTCGACTGTTGTCATCGTCGTCGATCGTCGTCGTCGTCGGTCGTCGACCGTCGTCGATCGTCGTCGTCGTCGTCGTCATCGTCGTCGTCGTCGTCGTCAATCACCGTCGCCGTTCGTCGTCGCCGATCGTCGATCGCCCTCGAGCCTCCTCCTCTCTCCCCCCCTCCTCCCCTCCACTCCTCCCCCCTGCCTCATCCTTCTTCTCCTCTTCCTCCTCCTCCTCCTCCTTCGCCCTCTCCTTCTCCTCTGCGCGGAAGAAATCCAACTACATCTCACGCTAATCAACGAACTGTGGCCATCCGGGCCTTTTTGAAAGTCCTTTAGGGCCATTTTGGGGCCGTCCTGGGGCCCTCTTGGGCGCCCTAGAAACCCGGAAATCATGTTCCTGGAGAAGCTTCCGGGAACACGATTTCGAACGAGGCCCTCTTGGGCCTTCCTGAGGCCGTCTTGGGGGCCTCCTGGGCCGGCTTTGGGGCCTCTTGGGCCGTCCTGGGGGGGTTCCGTGAACCTCACAGGACGACCCGTTTGGGCCGTCGTGGGCCCTCTTGGGTCTCTCTTGGGCTGTCTTGGGGCTCGGGGGCGTCTGGGGCACTGTGAGGACCAAGCAAACGAGTATACTGAAAATGTATCCTTTACGAATGGAAATAAGCCGGTGTTTGCCTCTTGAAGACCCTTTAGGGGCCCTCTTCGGCCATCTTCAAGCCATCTCGGGCCCTGTTGGGGCGCTCTTGAGCGTCTTGGGGCCCTCTTGGGCCTCGCTGAGGCTGTCTTGTGGGCCTCTTGGGCTGTCTTTGGGGCCTCATGGGCCGTCTTGGGCGGGTTCGTGGACCCCGCAGGACGCCCGGGGCGGCCATGCCAACCGGTGGCACCACCCCACCCCCGCCCCCGGGCCCCGTCCGTCTGTCCTACTGCTCCTCTCCAAACCCTCGTTCCCTAACCTCCCGATTATGTTCCCGGACCCCCGTCCCTTCCCCCCAGAGCACCGCAGCAGTAGGAAAGCGTTCCGAAACGGTGAGACAGCATGTTCCCGGAAAGCGTTCAAGAATATGAATCGTACGTCGTCCAAGGCGCCTCGGAAGGCGCAGAATACTCATCCAAGGCGCGGAATCATGTTCCCGGACCGCCTTCCGGGAACATAATGGGGACGACCTCCTGAGGGCCTCCAGTGGGCCTCTTTGGGGCCTCTCGGAGGCCTGTGGAGCTTTCCTGGAAGCGTCTTGGTGCGCGCTCAGGGCCATTTTTGGGCATCTCGGGGGCCTCTGGGGGCCTTCGGGGAGGCTCTTGGGGGCCTCTTTGGGGCCTCGCGGGGCCCTCTTGGAGACCGCTGGGTTCGCTTAGACAGTCTTGAAGCCCTGTCGGGGCACTCCTGGAACCGTCTTGGGCGGCTCCTGGGCCATCTTGGGGCTCTCCTGGGCCGTCTTGGGACGATTTTGGAAGTCTCTTGGGCCGTCTTGGGGCGGTCTTGGGGGCCTCTTCGGCCGTCTTCGAGCGGTTTTGGGAGACTCTTGGACTGCCTTGGAGCGTCGGAACCCCGAAAAAGCGAGAAGGCCAAAAACCTCGAAACAAAAACAATAAAAATCAACGATGTTGGCTTGTCGGGGCTCTCTTGGGAGGCCTCTTGGGATGCCTTCGGGGCCTGATGGAGCTCTCTTGGAACGTCTTCGGGCCTTCCCGGCCATTCCTGAGGCTATCTATGCGCATCTTGGAGCGCTCGCGGGCCGTCTTGGGCGGTCTCGAACTGTTCCTGGCGGTCCCAGGGGCGCTCCGGGACGCTTCGGGCGCTCCTGGGGGCGCCCTGCACCCCCCATCGAGATGACAGGCACCCCCCTGGGGCCCTACTCCGATATATATATATATATATATATATATATATATTCATTCATATATGCATATATTCATATATTCATATATCCATATATTCATATATTCATATGGGTACATAGGTTCATATTACTCTTTCGCTCCTGATGTTGTGTAATCCTCTTCAACTGCCGTCGTCGGCCGTTCCGCCCCGCCTCCGTCGCCCTCCGCCCTGCCCCCCGCCTCGCGCGCCAGTGCCCCTGTGCTCGAGATGGCGGGCGCCGCGGCTGGCGCGTCGCCGGGCGATGGCGACCGGGGCGGCGAGGAGGGCCCCGTCAAGCCCGCGGCGACTGCGAAGGCGCCCGCCGCCCGCCCCCGACCCCGTCGGACAGGGTCGGGCACTCCAAATCGTTGGGCGCTGCGCAAGGGGAAATGGACGGGGCCCGTCCACGCGCCCCTGCGCAACGCCCAACGATTTGGAGCGTTGCCCAGCGCATCGCCTTCATCGCTTTTGCCGCCCACTCCAGCGCGGCCGAGGTGATCGAGGATATACCCATAGAATCGATTGTACTCAAGCAAGTTCCTTGGAGAAGCCGAAGTGCGCCAGCCATTGAAGATCTTCTGGTTGGCACCGTGCGCCTGGTCGTGGAAAGAGCTTCTGGATCGCCGCGGCCTCTGCCTCCTCCCACCAGTCTGGCGGGCTGTCAAGCTGGGCGACAAAGCTGAGAACAGGCAGGATGTAGGTGGCGCAGGCTGAGAGAGTGAACGGCAGCCCTGCGCCGACTGGCCCCTATGCCAGGGCGCGCTCGGAGTGCTTGCGCAAGGGGGTCTCGCGCGTGCGCCATCCTCGCTCTGGCCCACAATAGAACCCGAGATATTTCGCAGCGAAGGCGACGCGGATGCCGCCCCAGCCCGGGCACGTCGCAGCCGCGCTGAGCGCCACTGCGGCGACGCTCGCTGGAAAAAGCGGCACCATAACAGTCTTCGGAAGGCCCAAGTGTAAACCTGCAATCAAGGCGTATTCTGCTAGGATTGCCAAGAAAGCAGGCGTGCTCTGCAGGCCGGTCGGAATCATCGCCGCGAGGTCATCCGAGCAGGCGCGCGCCAGGCAGCCAGGTGCAAGCCGACGCAGGCACCGCAAGAACACATCGGCAGCAACTGCGAACACCAAGGGCGAAAGTGGGCATCCCTGGCGAACGCCTGCCTCCAGGCAAAAGCCTTCGCGCCGCGCGCCACCGATCGCCAGCTCGCAACGGTTGTCGCGATACAGTGAGTGCCTCGAAGAAGTGAAGAAACCACGCCGGAAGACGCAGGTGGTCCATGATGTCCTTCAGGAACTGGTGCCCGATGCTCGGGAATGCCGCGCGGAAGTCCAATAATGCCGCTGCTGCGGCTGGTTCGTGTAGCGCCCGCCGCGTCATCTCGTGATCCACTGCGACAGCGTTCGAAATGAGCGAACGTCCGACCAAGAAGCCTTGCTGCAGGTCAGCAACCCACTCTGCGAGCACCAGTTCCATGCGCGCCCGGACAGCGTTAGCCAGAATGCGGTTTTCTGTATTGACTATGCACAACGGCCGCGTGTAGGACGGGGCGTAGAACTCGCCGGCCGCGGCGCTTTGGCCTGTCGGGCTTTTGGGGAGAGATACCATCGAGCTGGAATTAAAACTCTGCCCGGGGAACGTTGCGCCTTGGTAGAAGCGCGCCAAACGGTCCAGCCCCACGGCTGCCGACGTGTCCTGGGAGGCCCGGAAGAGGGCGTCGATTGACAACCTGCCCAGGCGTTGCCAAGCGAGGAACGGGGCCCCGTCTGGCCCGTGGGCGGAGTGCGGAGCCTTCATGACAGCCGTTTCCACATCCACCCGTCGCAGCTGCCACCGCGCGTCGTCCAGCGGCGGCAGGCCTGGGTGCGAGCTGCTTCGCGGGGGGGGCCTGGGAGCTCCTCGCGGAGCCACCGTGCCAGAAGTGCCCGATCGGTACGTCTAAGACCGAAGACCTCGCTCCAATGGCCCCGAAATGAGCTTGCCGTGGCCCGCGGGTCCGCGAGGGCTGTGCCACCTGGCGCCTGCGCCGCGCGAACAGCTCCCGAACGACCAGGCCGCAGCTTTTGAAGCCGGGCGTGAATGCGACCTCTTCTGGCCCGCGCCTCGTCGTCCGACATGTCATGCAGATCCGAATGCAGCGCTTGAAGATCAGCCAAGGCCGCCTCCCGGGCGAGCTGGACGGCGCGCTGGCGAAGTGGCCGGAGGCCGTCGCGTGCCCGCAGTGCTGGGGACACGGGGCCCAGCCCCAGGCGGGCCAAGGCAGGATGCGCAGCCAGGCGACGCCGCATGGCGCCCACCTGATGGTTCTCCGCCGCCCTCACGAAGCGCATGGTCCACCCCGCTCTGTCGTCGGCATGGGCGGGCGTCGGCGCCTTCCAGGACAGCTCCAAAACCATGCGGTCGGAAACTGCGCGGGTGGCGCGCTTCAGCAGGAGGAGCTGCCGGATGGGCTCCCCTGACTCGCTGCCCCCAGCCACGAGCGAGAAATATTCAACTGAAACCCGTTCTGGCCAAGCCTCGTTCCGGACGACCTCGGCTGAGATGGGGCGCAGGTCCTCGGGTCGTCGGGATGGGCTGCGGCGGAAGAAAGACAATGCCCAGTGAGCAGACAGCCGACTATGCCATTCCAGCGAAGCGCACCCCAGATTCTTTTCCAGTTGGTCCGAAGGGTCGAAATTCACGCACAACCGGTCGAGCCTAGATCTGGCGGAGGCTGATGCGTGAGTCGGGGCCTCCTGGTGGAGCTCGTGCAGCCTCAGCGGTTGCTGCGCGATGCGCTGCCATTGCCGCTCCTCGGTGGCATCGCGGGCGCCGGAGGCGTCTCCGCTGGCGGTGGAGATGCGACCCGCCGCGTCGGTGACCCAATTGAAGTCGTCTGTCACGATGGTCAGCGCATCTGATGCGGGCCGGAGCTCCTGTGCGATCCGGCGGCGAAGGTCATGGCGTTGCCGGCGCACTGAGACTTCCTCGGCCGCTGCTCCAACTGCTGCCGCCTCGCGGTCTGCCTCTAGGAGGCGAGGGGTGCCTGTGGGGAAGTACGCGGCCACGATGTCGAGGTTGCCGCGAGGGCCGTGGAGCCGCAGCACTGCGACCCGGCCAGGGCAGATCTCGCGCCACTGCGGGGGGCCCGCATCGAAGTGCTCCAAGAACGAGCGGCGGACTATCACGCCCACGCCAGCACGTCGCGGGCACGTGGACCACCAGGAGCGGTAGTCCCGCGGGCAGTCCCATGCGGAAACAGATCCCGTCGTGCCACGAGATTCGGTGATGACCGCAGAATCATGTCGAGCAGCCAGGCGCTTCGCGCATCGAACTTTCCGAAGCTGTCGATGCGGGCTGCGTGCGAATAGTGCCTGGGCGTTCCAAGTAGCTCCGGTAAAGTCCCCAGTGTAGGGTCTAGGGAGCTGCTGTCCCTCTGGGCCCGCCCCGGCAGGCGGGCGTGGCCCTGCTGGAGGCCTGTCGGGCGCGGGCGGACAGGAAGGCGCTCGCAGCCGTGGCGGGCGCGCGGCTGGCGGCAGAGCAGGTAGAGCGATCGCGTGCTCCACTTCTGCGTCGAGGTCCACGTCCGTGCACGAAGATGACGGGCGTGAACTGGATGTCGAAGAGCTTGAGCTGCCCCCAGACAGCGGAACCGAACACGAGCTGGCCGCGGAAGAAGCCGACGTAGAAGAAGAAGAAGAAGAAGAAGAAGAAGAACGTGTCGAAGTGGGAGTGGCGGAAGAGCTCGAAGGAGACGGAGGGGGAGACTGCTCGCCATCGCGCCCAACTCGCCGATGAGTGAGGCGGAGATCGACAATGAACATCTTGCACCCGAGATCCGAGATGATCTCAGTATTGCTGGCGCCCTTGCGCATCTTGCTCGTTGGCGGCCGGGCCCTGGGGGACCGCGACCGCCGCCGGGTGCAAGCGCAGCGGAAGCGGGGCCCCGGCTCGCCCGCGCCCGCCCCGCATTTCCCGGCATCTGCCCAACGTGATCGATCAAGTCGTTGAGGACCTCGATGGGGATGAGATCGGCCCCAATCTGGACGGCCCTGCCATGGACAGCAGCCCTCAAGCGGGTCACGGCGTCCACGTCGGGCAGAAGCACGTCGGACTCGCCCGGGCGGCGCCGACGGGTCCTGGGCAGCTGCCCATGCCCACGTGCTCGAGGAGGTGGGGCCCACCAGAGACGCGTCCGCAAGCTGAATGCCGACGCGCTCGGAGACCGCGCGCATGAGCGCCTGCACCACCGTCTTGGGGTCGTACCCGAGGGAGCCCTGCATCACGAGCTCCGCCTCGTTACCGGAGGACCGCGCTGCCGTCCCAGTGGCGCCCCTGTGGTTGGCCAAGCGCCTCGTAGCACTGAGCTTCGTTGCGTGGCAAAGAGAATGACCCAGGGACGACCGCCCCGGAATGGGCGACTCCGGAGGCGCAGCACGGCGATCGACGCATCCTCCGCCAGAAGCTTGTTCAGCACTGGCTTCCATATGTCGGGCTCCGCACTGGTCTTAATCGTCACGAGGGTCCTGGTCACGAACACGGCCTCCGCGCAGAGGCGCCTTACGTGGTGGAAGGCCTGGGGGGACGTCAAATCCATCAACAACGCTGAGTTGTCCGTGTACAGCGAGCGCGGCCCCGCATACACAGTGTCCGGAAAGTGAAGACGGCGAAGTGCGTCCGCCAGGCAGCGAACGTCCAGTGCGACCACGTTCGGGGGGAAGTGGATTTCCACGCGGGCCCGGGGTAAGTCTCCAGAGGTGGCGGGGCTCCGAGAAGAAATTCCGATTCGAACTCCCATCGTGTGGCCAACCGACTCCACAGCCCTGCGAACAGCAATAAAATCGGAGGCGGGGAAATCCACGATGAGCGAGTGCGAGCCTTGGACGGAGAGCAGCGGCTCCGCGATCTTGACCACGCGCGAGGAGTCCTCTGCATGGACATACTGATCGTCGCCACCATGAGGCCCTGTCGTGCCATCCGGGGAGCGCCTTGGCAGGGAAGGACCATCTCCAGCGGGTGGGGGGAGAACGTCAACGCTCGGACGAAGGAGACCCATCGGTCCCCGAAAAGCATGCGCCAGAAGAGATCTCGAACGTCGTCCGCTGAAGCGCAACCCAGGTGCAGCTCCAGAGGGACCAGAAGACGGACTGTCAGTTGCTCAGCTCGTGGGCCGCGAGACAGGGAGAAGGCTGTCATCAACCGGCCGAGCGCTGCAGTACCAGCTAGAGCCCACATGACCACGCCACCGCCTGGCAGCTCATGGAAGATGTCCTCACCCGTGAACGCTCGGGAGTGCAGGCTGCGCGCATGCGCCACCGGCAGGATTGCTGGCGTGGACAGGATCGCTGAAAGCTGTGCGGCCACGACCTCGTTCTGCGAGGGAGCGGATTGTAGAATATGCTGGAGACCCAGCGTTCCCAGCTCCTGCCATTCCAGAATCTGGGAGGCGCGCTGGCGGCGCCGAGCTGCCAGCACAGATGGGAGCTCCTGGAGGCAGTGGCTCACAGCGTCCTGCATCCTCCCCCTCTCCGCGAGGGCCGCGTTGCGCTCCGTGGACTCCCATTGTGGCGACTCGGCGCAGGAGAATAGCAGCCTGGCCGCTTCCCCACGACGCTCGATCGCCGCACCTGACGGGACTGAGCCCTCCATGGCTGGGATGCCGATCCGAGTCTACGGATCGGTTGCAGCTGGTCTGAAGCCCATCGTTTCCAGCTGTTGTCGTAACGGAGCCCAAGAAGACAGCGAAGGGCGGGGAAGCAGACGGAGTCGCTCAGCACGGAGTGCGCTCTGCGGCTGCACGACCTCCAGGTGCTGGAGCATCTCCGCCTCGCAGAGGTCGACGAACGCAGTGGCGGACACGTCCGTTCCCGTGTCGGCGCTGTCGACCTCGTCGATATCAACGTCGCCGTCGTCGTCGTTGATGTCGAGGCGCTGGGCGTCCTGAGTCAAGCCACTGCCGTCGCCAGCGGCGGCCATCGCGGGGTCCCCAACGGCTGGGGCACCTGCGCCGGCTGGGGCCGCCTGCGGCGGCTTGGTGCTACGTGTGATGGCTTGAGCCAGAAGCTTGAGTCAGAAGCGTTACGTTCTCATTCGTTGCAAATGCACCGAATGAGAACGTAAAGCCGAGGACAAGACGCTTGAAGTCAGAGGATTTGCCACGATCCCGGTACGATTCAAGGTGACCGTTGGCGCGCGCTGTTTCTGCACTAGCTTTCCCCCATTCACGAGCAGACTTACATGAGGAACGCAGCAACAATCTGGACCACAAGAGCTAAGGCCCAAGCGCACTCATCACGGCGACAACGGGATTGCTGGCGGGCGTACTAACTGACGGGTTCGCAGAGGCCAGAGCACTTGCAGTACATGTAACCAACAAGCGAAGTGGACGTTCATTGTGCGAGCAGTGCAGGCGCGCAGGACAGGCATTGAGGCCGTCACCGATGGAACCGATGGCAAAACCATCACGATCTTCAACAATGCCGGGCAAACGGTGGGCAGACGCATGCAGATGCGACCAGATATGTTCCAGGCAAATGTAGCAGCCAGCAGAGGAGACAACGGTCGGCAGGGCGAGAATGACAAGACATCGTGGCGACGCCGACGATACTCCGTACGGGGTGCTGGCTGAAGAGGTCGCATGCCATCGAGCCCGACGGGGAGATCTGTGACATCGGATCCCAACGAACTCATGCTGGCGCCCTTGCGAAAGAACTGCCGAGACCCACGAAGGGCACCTTGCCCACTGCTGAAGCCCACGAGGGCGGGCGACTCTGAGCCGAACGGCAATAAACACAATGAGGGTGAGCACTGCATACGGGGATCAAGTCTGGAGCAGAGCAAGATTCGGAGGCGAGCCCAGGGGAAATGAGAGGGGATAAGGCTTCTCAGAAGGCGGCGGGGTTTCTCAGAGGCCCTGTCGCCTTCTGAGAAAGCCTGCCCCCTCTTACTTCCCCCTGGACTCGCCGCCGAAACACGCACCAATATAACGACGACGCCGACGCAGACGAAGATTGGCCACGCGCCAGCGAGAAAGCCCCCCCCCTGCAAGGCCGCTCTTCACGGCCTCCAAAGCTCCAGCCTCGCTGGCCTGCTGTGTATGGGCACTGCCTGTATTTGCGGCCATCGCCGATGCCACCAGTCGAATGGATCTTTCTGTCAGCGGCGACGTGGGGCACGAACCGTCGAGCAGCAACAGCAGGGACTCGGCAGAGCTGATTGCGCACCGAAACGTATGGAGGTATACAATGGCGTCCGCGGAGGAGGACAAAGGAACGAGCCGCGGTCAGAGCGTGCAGCAGCAAGTCGTGTCGAACATGCAAGGAGAGGAGGAGGAGGACGAGGAGAAGGAGAAGGAGAAGGAGGACGAGGATAAGGAAGAGTAGAAGGAGGAGGAAAAGTACGGAGGGGGAGCGGTTGGATGAGGACAGCGCGGGGCTTTCAGCTTCGGCCGCAGCGACCTGCCCAGGAGCGACCGCTCCGACGCCCGAAGTCGTCGCCTCCAAGGCCGCGCGACCTCCAGATACCCCATGATTCCACGCAACGCCTCGCTGCATTTCTGTATACACGGTTCACTGATGGCGCCTTGAAGGTGAGGACGATGGGCCCCAAACAATGTAAATTGAATATCGTATCCCTTCCTGTTCTGTAGGGCTCCATCGGTCAGGGCCTAATCTTGCAACCGCCGATTTTATCTCTCTTCGCCGCAAAGAACACTAGCCCGCCCTACACTTCCACAGTCGCCACAGGCCAGCCACCAATCCTGCGTGACAGAATCGTTGCCCTTTGCTCACTCCTCCCCCGCCGTTGGGACCGACCAGTCCTCGATTCCGCAAGTATCGAGCACTGCGTGCCGGCGTCGCGCGCCCCACTGGAGCCCTGCGGCCTGCTCCGAGGCGGCGGCGGTGGTTTCGGCAGCGCCTTGCCCTGCATGGGCCGGGGGGCGGGGAGGAATTAAAATTGGGCAGGACGAATCAAGGGGACTCTTTTCAAATCTCCCCAGTGGATGCCGCGCACTACGGGGGAAACTCGTTCAACTGTTCCTGTGGATAACCAGTTATTGCTCCTCGTGTGGGCAACACGCGTCAGGGTGGGCGGCGTGGGAGGGTAACGTGACGCAGCCACTGTCGCGCCGGGGGTACGTTTTCGCCCCGCCTCCCTGCGCCGACACGAACCGGAGGACGACAAGACGAAAACGACGACGACAACGATTCCAAGCCAACCTGCCACAGCATAGCGTTACCGTTAATGTTGCGACCGCCACAGCATGCATGCGAACACCCGCGCCTGCCTGCGAACACCACAACGCCGCGAACGCCAAAACAATTCCGGAGGCAA